GTCAGAATTAACGCCAGCGGTTCAGGAATGCTTGTATCTGTTCAATTCACATACACTGATCGAGTGTTTTGCTTGTGCGTTGGTGCTCATGCTGAAAACATCATAAAACACTATTTATGTACCACGCAGACAATATGGTCATTCGGGTGATTGATCAATACCGATGTTTAAGCGTCTCACGAGCCTTCTTCTGGGTAGAGATAGTTGAGTTTCGGAAGTCTTGCATGTTATCCGCAGCAGTTCGTACATTCGTCGAACCCAGAAGGTCTTTTCGCTCAAAACGTCAGAAAAGCTTAGAACTACAGAGAAAGCCTTCTGAAGCCAACCCACTTCTTAACACTGAAGAAAACTAGTAAGACAGGGGCTGAAACGTCGGTACTGGTCAATCATAAAATTGATGCTGACGATGTGCATAAATAGACGGTATTTATACTGTTTCATTCTTATACGCTGTGTCAATTTACTTGCTCATCCCTGCGCTGAATGGATGAAAAAAATTCGGGCGACCGGTGAAGTCAACAGTTCGGTAACATGGTTTAAACCCGTTGGCAGCGGTGGACCATACTGCCAATATGATAGTCAAGAGAATTGCATTATGCACCACTAGGATGGATGGTGCTTGATGACATCTTGCGTCCTTCTAAAAAGGATTAGCAGAGTGTCTGTATTGATTGCTAAAGACAAGTCGATTCATACCACAGACCTGCAGCACATAGACAGGCAATCAGTGGGTTTGCATTACCATTTCTGTCAAACTTCATGGCAGAATTAGCGACAGAGAAAAATTTCTTACTTCCGCCACTAACCAGCTGGTCTAGATGCTTAGATATGTAATGCGATATGTTTCATCCAGCTGTAGCAATAGTGCATAGCGTTGACGCACATGCTGTCTGTATAGCACATGAGTTTACTTTTCTAGAAAGTAATCTACAGCAACTTGTGAAGGTTCACAAAATCCTCGGAAATAAACTGAACTGTGAATTGAACAGCAATTGCAAGTTGGTTCGTTTCACCATTCTCCAGATCTGCATTCTAAGCTGTCTACTTGATCTTCATCCATCACGTGCTTGGGCTTAAATACATTAAACGTATGCCTAAACCGACATTTTTGGCTTGATAAAACATTGTTCCTTTGGAGCTGAGCAGCCACTAAAAAATACTGGCATCTGCGTAAACCTGGCCAATTTGGATCACTCGTCCAAAGCCATGCAAGAAAACGGTGCACAATTTTCATATTCAACACTGATAGCTACTGACTGTAGGCAAAGATGAAACGGTACTCGATGCCAGTAGTCAAATTAGCGTGAAACGAGAAAGGTTTTCATAGTCTGACACCTTAATACAAATACCGTAATGTGGTCTTTCGGCTTCAGAAATCGGTCGTCATGATGAAGCGACGATTACGATAAAGCTGTTAGCATTCTCGCAGAGAGAATTCAGATTTCGTTAACACCGATGCATGGAAACGAACAGTTTTTAAATTTTTCGCTGATTACATGATGGCGCGTTATTAACAATGAATCTCCGTAACAAAACGACTTTTCGCACGACATTCCGTCACCACCAGTGACACCATTTATCCGTCAATTTTTCTGCCACTTCGTCAAGTTGACAAGAGGAAGTTCCGTCCG